TTATCCGCTCTATGCGTGTGTGTGCTCCGCTCAGTCGCTCGCGTTCATGCTCATCGGAACAGCAAAGTCCACTCAAACATTGAGCCGACAGGAAACATCGATGTAGTACAGTATTGTTTCTGTCTGCAATAGCCCTACTGTGTTGTAACAAGGTGTGGTAAATGGGCAATTCTGGTAACGCTGCCCTCTCATTCATTGATCTGCTAACCGCTATGTTATGCTCACGTGTTCTGATAATAATAGCTTTCTAGGACTAAACATTATTTGGATAATTGGTAAAAAAAAAAAAAATCTCTTAATAGCCCTACTGTGTGTTAGACCTACCTGAAAAACTAAAAAGCAATTTATTTCATTTGTAGGCCTATCGTGATTTTTTTTTATTTGTGCTATCATTATTAATTTCTTTATTTGTTCTTATTTTATTACTGACTGCTTACTTGATTCAATTCAATCAATTCAAAGTTTGAAATCAAGCTATCTCGTGCTACTGCACCAAAATTACCCCACTGTAAAAAAAACACTAATTACCATTATAACTAGCTATCTCACAATGTTTACATATGAGTAAAAGCCTACATTAAAATCTGTCATATACATAGGTCTTTTCATTAGAAATTAGCCTACTGATTGCCACCATTGATAGACACATTTGTTTTTATAATATTAAAAATATCTGTATGACATTATATTCTGCAGTTCTTCCCTGTTGTACCGAATATCTATACTTTTCAAATTATCATATCGAAGTTAGAAATTCAAATATTGTGACAAAATTAATTTTGTAGGGTGCCACAAGTTTGTTAAAATTTCCAAAGGGTGCCGCGTCTAAAAAAAAGGTTGGGAAACACTGATCTACATCTTAGATGGCCTAAAGGTTGAGTAAATTTTCAGCATTTTTTTTTTTTTTTGGGTGAACTTTTCTTTAAGCTTCTGACAGCGCTTTCTATCTTTAAAAAAAAAAAAAAAAAAAAAAATCCCTGAAAGTTTCAGTTAGTATAATTTGCAAGAGCACAATTATAATCACAGCGAGGCTGCAAAAGTGACTACTGAGTAGATGAGTTTAATGATGAGTTTGATGTTTAATGTTCCGACACCCTCTGTAGTCAAATTTAGCCACTTGTTAGCAGCCACCTTTATCAAGACAAGTAAAAGCTTTCAAAACATCACAAGGTGGTGTTTCTGATGTACTTTAAGTTGTAGAATAAAATGCTAACCGTAGAACTTATTTCAGGCATTTAATCACAAGCCAATTCCAAAACAAAAAAAAGAAAAAAGAAAAAACAACAACATTGACTTCTGGATGATGGAACCAGAATATGTCCGGCTTAATGTGAACTCTATTGTGGGTAACAAGGGATTGTGGGTAATGAGAGTGAACAGGGGATGTCACAGGAGCTAAATACACAGGAGCCAAACCAAGTACCGTGCTGGCTTTAGAAAAGACAGCTGATTTTGGGTTGTGTCAGTACATATCTTGTGCTGTCTTTATATTAATAATTTATGATATTTCATCTCTTCCTTTCTCATTTGGCTCTGTGAAGCTGCAAATTGTTGGGGGTGGGGTTCCGGCGGGTTGCAGACAAGTGTACAAAAGCGTGAAGTCACAATCGATTTCTGCTTTGTTGTTGTTGTTATTTGTGACGGCGTGTAGAAGTCTGATAGTAATCATGGCTTTATTAGAGCAGTCAGAGTATTCCCTCCGCTCCGAGGAGAACACACATTCTCCACGCACACGTCTGCATGTCTGAAGCCAGCACGTAAACACGCTTTGTGTTCACAGAATTATTTATTGTGTCTCCGGTAACTCTGTACCATAGACTCTGTGTACACAAGGCTTTGCGTTCAGATTGATTTGCGTGGCAGGTGCTGCACACGCTGAGACAGTATTAACGTGGAAAGAAATGCTGAACAACAGATTGGATCTGTTCAAGAAACGTTGAAGTTGATGTTATTAATAGCGTAGTTAAATAGGAGAAAAACACTAGCAGTTTCTGTCTGTTTCTGCAGAAGTCATCCATCTTTAGGAAAACAACAGGTAGTATTTCCTTATGTTTTAGCCCTCAATTTTTAAAGCGTCTGATGACAGTGTGATAATTTAAGTTGGTGGAAGTGTTGAGTCTCTTCAGAAGTGTAGGTCTCTTGTCTACTGCCTGAAGTGAGAGATGCATAAGGTAAGAGAAAACATCAAAAGGGAACCAGTTGCTAAATCTTTGCTCCTTTTCAGTACTTACAGTTTCTATTAAAATAAAAGCTTAAAAGTGCAGTATAAATTTACTGACAGCTAGTTGTTTAAATGCAGTCCAAATTCAAAATATCTCTATCAAGTGTAGAAATTAGGAAAGAAGTACTGTAATTTCCCTACTGTAAAGCAAAAATAATATACCTATGAAGGATTAATTGTCATTTATTTTACAGTGTAATTTTTACAATACATGGCTATTACTTGTTGTTATTATTATTATTATTATTATATTCTAATTTGTTTGGCTTCCTAAAACACCTGTGTGAATGTAATTTAGACTGAGACAGTATATCACAAATAAAAAGAGGGTTGAGAGTCCCCTTTAAAGTTCAGTTACAAGTCAATTCACTGACTTTTTTCTGACTCAAGTTTTCTTAGTTAAGAAACATGGGTTGCAGCTCTTAATTTTGAACTCTCAAAGTGCATTAGATAGAATAATTGAACTGAAAATGTACTAAATTTTCTTATGTTCTTCATTTGTCTTTTTTTTTTAAACATCACAATAAATATCGTATCGTGGACTTCATATTGCGATATTATCGTATCATGAGATTTTGATATCGTTACAACTAGGGATGTCCCGATCCGATCACGTGATCGGAAATTGGGCCCGATCACGTGGTTTCAGACTCGATCGGAATCGGACGTTACCCCTTCCGGAGCTCCTCCGTGAGACTCGAGACCGGTGAGTGGGTGCAGGTGTCCCTCATTAGCAATCACTCCACCGGCCTCGCTCCGTTCCCACGGCTCTCGGCCCCGCCCCCACTCATCACAATGATGATTATGCCATCATGAGTGTAATTGTTCGAAGCTAAAAAGCTATTTTCTTTATTCCTGTAGCATTAGATCATTTAGAACGGGGGTTCCTAATTCTATTCCTGGAGATCTACCTACCTGCAGAGTTCAGTTCTAACCCTGCTCCAGCTCACCTGTCTGCTATTATCTAGTGCTTCTGAAGACCTTATAGGGATAGTTCACACAAAAATGAAAATTCTGTCATTAATTATTCACCCTCATGTCGTTTCAAACCCGTAAGACCTTCGTTCATCTTCGGAACACAATTTAAGATATTTTTGATGAAATCCGAGAGCTTTCTGACCGTGCATAGACAGCAATGAAACTGACAAGGCCCAGAAAGGTAGTAAGGACATTGTTTAAATAGTCCACATGACATCAGTGGCTCAACTGTAACGTTTTGAAGCTACAGGAATACTTTTTTGAGTGCAAAGAAAACAAAAATAACGACTTTATTCAACAATTTCTTCTCTTTCGTGTCAGTCTTTAAGGAGTGCTCACGACAGTACCACGATCCATGCGTTCGGTGCTATTTTCTTTGCGTACAAAAAGTATTCTCGTAGCTTCATAACATTAGAGTTGAGCCACTGATGTCATATTTTATAGACTATTTTAATGATGTACTTATTACCTTTCTGGGCCTTGAACATGGTAGTTACGGGTTAAGGGTTTAAGGGTTTGGAACGATATGAGGGTGAGTAATTAATGACAGAATTTTCATTTTTGGGTAAACTATCCCTTTAATTGCTGGTTCAGTTGTGTTTGATCAGGGTTGGAGCTGAACTTTGAATGAAGGTAGATCTCCAGGAATAGTATTGGGCACCCCTGATTTAGAGTATTTGATACAATATGTACCATCTGCCAGAAACTGCAAAATTTAGTGGTCTGAATTTGTGTTTGCTCCAGTATTTCATCCTTGTCTCTTGTCTCCATACATCTGCTTTACCGTTTCTTTGGATTTTCTTTAGGCCTTTTAGTCAAGTTTTCTCTCCCTCCTCCTTGTTTTACTTTTTTCCTTCATCCAGTACAAGGACTGTAATGGTATATCCGGCTGGCTCACGCAACTAGAGCTGCATTCCTTTATTGCAAATGACATGCTATTTCCCTCCTGCCAACACAGCCAGTCTAGTGCAGGCCTCAGGTTTCAGTCCAGAAAATCTGCCATGGTCCGTCATGAAACCTTCCAGCCCCGGGAGCTTCTTGCCAAACTAGAACTCACCTGACTAAGGTACTCAGGTACTTAACTGCTTTTCCCTGCAGCTCCATCCATCTGCCCCATTCTGAAGTTATTCCAGACAAATGACTAACATTTAGACATCTCTTCTACTGCCTTGGCAATTAAAAAGAGACAATCAACTTGGCGACAACTGGCAGAGCTCTGTTGGGGTGGTGTGGACGCTGGGGTTTTAGATTAGTTTTACCCCTGCAGGTGGTGAAGGGTATCCATTTACCTCTCTGAGCTGTTTTGTCTAGCATTTAGAGGCATTAGTGGACATTAGTGGCACTGCGGGACACAGAATATACACACCATTCCCTCAGAGGGTTGAGAAATGCTTTCAGTATTGTAAGCATTGTCATATTTAGTCTTTGCATCGGCCTCGCTTTTTAATTACCTCCTTTCACAAACTCCCTCGAAACCTCATTATGTCAAGCTCAGAATCAGGAGTATAGAGTGGGGCCCTTTATCAGGATTGGCCATCTTTTGTTGGTCCTGGAATCCTGTTCAACAAACAGTCCTATCCCTGATCCCAACTCTAACTGTAACCATTAACTATTAAACAAGTCCCCAGCCTTAAACCTGACCTAACCTAACCCTAAAGCTAACCTTGAGATCTGATTGGTTGACAGAAAAGTTGTGTTGGGACCATCAAGGATTTTGATCTAGGAACTTGTTCCAACAATACAGTAAATATAGCAAAATTGTAAGATATTGTAAGACTTGCCGTGTACAAAAAGGTACACCTTTTTATATTTCTTTCATATTACAATTGTGATTACATTTAGGGTTTGAATACTGGGACTGAAATTTATGGCTAGGTTTAGGTTTGGGCCATTCCTTTTGTCATTTTGGTCAACCCAGTTTGACATTGCCGTCGTGTAGAAATGATCATGACTTCTCATGAGAGTGGGTTGGTCTTACTTGGTGAAATCTCAGTTAGTGAATGGATGTAGAAGAAGCCAATGATCTTAACGAGGTGCAAGACAAAAGGTCAAATTGACAGATGTTTCGGCCTTTGCTCCTCAGTAAATTTATGCTTTTCCAATACTCGTAGGGAGCATGCAATAATGATGAGCCTTCTCTAGACTTGTTGGGGAGATTGAATTCAGCTTAATTTGCTGCATGTCACCTTGAACAAATCCAGATGATTAGTGACAACTGTTCCCATAAGCCAGCCTTATTTCCCAAGAAACTCAAGCATCCCGTGGCCTCCAAATTATGCACACAAATTTGAACTGCTGCTCTGGAAATTCCCTTGCCCAACCCCGCTCGTTTTCTTTTAGCTGCATTAATTGGATTCCTTAATTAGTTCCAGTAATAATTGTAAGAGATCGACGGTGGTTGTGAGACATGTTCCCTTGCTTGTCTAGTCTCTAATGCATGCTGTTAAACTGGGTCATTAATGAAATTTATCCTGCTCCAACTGTCACTTTGATCAACAGTGACGTCTTGAGTCACATGATCTCCGATTTCGACTCTACTGCCTCCCTGGAGCAGCTTATACACCGAAGAGGAAAATCAGGAGACGGGAGATTCATTTAAAGACCCTCACAAAGAGTAGGAGGAGGAGTATGCAAATTTTGGGGGAACGGAGGCAGACAGTTTTAATTACCTTGTTAAGTAGGCCCGCGAAGCCTGCAGCAGTCTGAGGGATTTGGGAGATTTGTTTCAGTAGCTGCAGAAAACAAACTGATATGACATCCCACAAAACAATACCAGCTTAACCACAACAAGCTTCCTGTACATTCAGCTGTCATGGTGACTGTCTGCAGTGCATGTGCACTACACACCATAGGAAAGATAGATGCCAATAGGCTGAAATTCTTTCAAGCTATATAAAATGTACATCTTACACACTGAATGCTATACATCAACAAG